GGACATGTTCCTTTTTGCCTAACCAGTCTCATTACGTTTTGAGTGAAATAAAATTATGAATTATACCAGTGTCATCTATCGATAAAAACATCGATTCGATTAATTAACAGCAGCTTTTCGCACTGTGGCAGTACCGATAGAAAACAGCAACTTTTTGGCACTGCGGCAGTGCCGATAGAAAACGGCAGCTTTTTGGCACTGCGGCAGTGCCGATAGAAAACAGCAGCTTTTTTTATATTGGCTTTTTTTGGCACTGCGGCAGTGCCGATAGCCACTACCGCCTTGGCCACGCTGCGGTATAGACATCTTCGATTGATGACAAAAAATGCTGAGCAGCGAAGCGTAACCAACAGAAATAACATAGCGTTTCGGCCATATTTTCGGAGGTCATGTTACTCAAAAAATCATTTATCCTTAACGGGAGGTCGTGTCAACATATTTTTTTCTTTAAAATATTCGCAAAGGATATATCTACGTACCGTATGAATAAAAAAAATAAAAATCTGTTTAGTCTGTCAAAACATAACTGGAAAATAAAAGACTGATTTTGTATAGTGCGTGTTGTTATTATTTCAATTAAGTTTTGACAGACTAAACAAATCTTTTTTGGTACTCATACGGTACTTATATATCCTCTGCGAACATTTTAAAGAAAAAATATGTCGATACGAACCTCCGTTAAGGAGTTATGATTCCTAAAGTAACATGACCTCTGAAAATATGGGCGGTACGCTATATATTCGGTCGAACAGTGTGAAATAATGGCAAAATGTGTGTTCCATTTTCCAGTTTAGTTTTGACAGACTAAACAAATTTTCATTTTTAAAAATTCATGCAGTATGTAGATATATCCTTTGCGAACATTTTAAAGAAAAAATTATGTTTATACGACCCTCCGTTAAGGATTTATGATTTTTTAAGTAACATGACCTACAAAAATATGGTCGAAACGCTATGTTATTTCTATTGGTTACTTTTATTTTTTATTGGTTTTATTTTTAGTGGTTAATATTTGTTGTTATTTTTATTGGTTATTGGTCATTGTTATTTTATATTGGTTATTGGTTCCATACTTATATATGTTTTTTCGCAGACCCAATACGGCAGAATCACTTTAATTAAAAAAAAAACAACTTAACTTTGCGAGGCCCATGCTCTAACATCCACAAATCAACACTGGCCTACGACTTTAATCTACGGAAGCACCTAAGTGCCATTTGACTTGACGACTTGTCAAGATACTTGTAGATTTCTAACTACACGAGCGTTAATTTTTTGTTGCAACACCCCGCACACTTCCTGATACGCCCTGAAACTAAATAAACTGTATCGTATAAATGACACATTGATTAGATGGTAAACCTTACCAATGTCCATCCCAGATTCATTAAATAGGCAGTGGTTAGTGATTAGTAACCCCGGCAAGGGGGACTCTTTTAACTTGCATGGTTTTTTATCAATCCTTTTAAATAAAGAATACCATAATCAACACAATGTTTTCCACGGGGGAGGGGGTGCTATGCTTCCCCGACGAAGGGAATGGACAATGTGGACCCCTTGTCAGGGAGCTTGGACCACTCGTTGGGAATTCCTGGCGCCGCCCCTGTTCGTTCATAAACTTAGAAATGACAAAAAGTATGGATTTTTAAAGCTTGTCCTACCTTGATTTAAAAATACTGCTGCAAACACGATACCGTGACGAAGTGCAGACGCGTACGATGGTACAGTGTGCGGTACAAATGCTGCACGGTAGGCACGCGTCATATGGGCTGTGCCGACTTGAATACATACCTGGTTGACAGGCCATGCAAACTGAAATTATCGAAGTACATAGAACGTTAAATTCTTTTCAATATTTTAAACAAAAATATCTGCAACCCAAACGCAAATATAGGCTTAGTCATTAATGTTTATAACTTTTTAACTTGTATTTCTAAGTTTTATTTTTGCACAGTGTAGAAATAATAAGCAGTGACGCCGTATGTTGATTGTCAGTCTGTGGCACTGACATCGTTGTATATATCCGGACGAGTTATTCCATATTTAATGTAATATTACTTCATTTATCTGTTCATTACGCAATAGTTTATGTCATGAGAACAATCAATCCATTGAATTCAGTACCGTACATGTTAACGTACTCATAGCTCAGTTGAGAACTATACATTAACATATATTAATATATTACCTGCATTACCTAGGCCTATATTAATTGTATTGTATTATAACTATATTAAATATAATTAATAACCATATTAACTATATATTAATATATTCCTGATTGAAAGTAGAATTTTATGTGGGCAAAAATGTACGGTACCGGCATAATGCGCAGTCCTACTTGTTTCGTTATTTATTACATTAAATTCGACTTCTATCGGCTATGGGCTCCAATAAGTATATGTCCCCGAAAATTTTAAGATCCATTGATAAATGGAATCAAATACGAACATCATATAATTGTATTGTAGCCCTATTTTATGTAAAATACGAGAAATAAATTTCAGGAGTATGCGATTGCTGCTGCCCTGCATTATTTACAAGTTCTTGCTCGGAATTTCCCGGCAGAGGCTGAAAATACACAGCGGGAATAATTCCTACCTATGCGTATTATTGTGCTGTGTGCATGAGCAGTATCGCCCCATAAGCAGGAGGGCAAGACGCACATTTTTACACATTTTTGCTTTTTGTCCATTCTATAAAATAATTTGCAATTTAACGCAATTCTGCGACCAAATGAGAAATGATGGTAATTTTTTTTAATTTGAAATAATTAAACTATATTATAGCAACTGCATTATTACTATTGAAATAATTCATCTGGCTTCTTGATGTAATTGAAATACCATCCAATTACATTATTTAACTATAAATACTATGACAAATGGATAAATATAAGAGTGCCCAAATATAAGAACTAATCGTCATGCATAACTCTTTTAACATTGAGGATCCCAGGGAGACGGAAGGTTCAAACCAACTCACACTCATGCTAAATTTTTTGTTTAAAATCCTGACACTGAGTGCAATGCAAAATCTCAAATTAGACCTTAAGGAAAAGATGAAATATAGTTTTTAATGTCAGAGGAGAGCAAATAATTTTAGTAATCCGTATTTAGGGTGGGTAGCATACAACAACGCAGAGCCGATCGAGTGTTTTGCTTAAGGGAAAAAATATATTTTTAAAATGATATATAAGAAAAAGAGACATTCAGGTCAAATAAAACAAACATTTGTGGGATCGGTATTAATATAATATGCTTATATTAATGTCCTACTTACAATGAATGAAAGAAGACGAAATATTGGCCAGTAAATTTATATCCATTCCTTTAGTCAAGAGAATATAATATAGGCCTAGGTTTAAAATACACATGACAATAGACAACCAGATAGGTAATGCAAAATAGCAGTAGCATTAAGACATTAAGAATCGATCCATTATTTGACATGGGTCTATTAGGTATAACTTGTACAATTAATGAGATATTGCAACCAATGGTAATATTAGTCTGCTAGTGATAACTGTACATACATCCACCAAAAAATACTTCATCATTTTAGTGAAAAATATTAGTGGAAAAGTAGCGGGATATAATACGGTACATTACGAATGTGACTTACTGTCTTAAATATGGAATATTCCTGGAATTTCCCAAACTATACGTGTACAGTACAAGACGAATCTTAAAAAAAAGAAGCAGAATGTGTCAGCCTACACGTCGACTACGGAAGCGTCGACAGAACGGTTTTAGATTTTAATAAGTTAAAAAAAATGAAAATTATAAAAATACATCGTGAACCATAATGATCAGTATTCTTGCTTTGCGATCATTATTTGTGATTAATACAAAGTAATGGTACAGCCACGCAGTAGTTCAACGTTTAACGTATCTGGAAATCCCTTTTCGTACATGATTCTAAAAATAAACCAGTTTTAAAGTCGCAGAACTACTAACACTAAACGTAACCCGATAGTAAATCGTTATAGGCCTATTGAATCAATATGTCTACCTCAAGAACCCCTCCTTTGTGACACCCATTTAATTCAGGGGACACACCCCTATCAATGATTAATGATGAATGATGATGAATTTTACTATAAGAGTGTCATTTCCGGCCAGTTAGAGGTACACTATTCATCGCCGGCGGAACGTTTTTCAAAGTGGGAGCCCACTATAGCATTTCTCTCCGATCATACAAAAATCTGCATAGACATATATTTTTTCTGCCAAAAAGTGGGAGCCGCACCCAACCCCCGTTCCGCCGGCCATGTTATTTCCTAAATTTTCGTGCCTGATGTAAGTGAAATAGAACAAAAATGGTCCGATATGGGTAAATTGAACATCAAAAAGTATTCTGTGTACTTCACAAACTGCCAATCGACAATAAAATTAAAGTTTTTCAATTTAAATTTATGCATAGAATCGTTTTCACCAATGTAAAATTGTTTAAGATTGGTCTGGTAAAGTCTGAACTATGCTCTTTCTGTAAAAAGGAAAAAGATCATCTCTTACACACGTTTGTTGAGTGTAGAATCAGTCTTCCTTTGTTGGAAACTACTAAAGAATTTATCTTTAATGAAACTAATACAATAATTAATTTTGACACAAAAAGTATCTGCTTTAGAGAGCCTGATTTACCACCAATTGTTAATTCTTTCATATTGTTCACTAAATATTATATCTATAGCTGTAAATTACAAAATATAATTCCTCATTTCAAGGATCTAAAACTCAGACTATAAAAATATAAAGATGTACTCAGACTCTTGAATTGAATCTCCCTGCTGTATTGTAAACTCAATGGCACGCTCATTATTATTTTTTCTGTTTTGTTATTGCTGTTGTTGGTATTATTGTTGTCATTATTATCAATGACAACAATGATAATAACAATAATAATAATTTGTTTTTCTTGTACAATTGTATTGTATTATATTGTTATGTCTATATTTCATTAAGGCTTTTTATTGTTATTTTTTCTGTTAAATGTTATGAATGTATTATGCCTGAAAGAAATAAATAAAAAAAAGAAGAAAAACATTTTTTTTCGTGCCTCAGCCCCAACCATGGTGGGGCTGAGATGGGTGTGGACTCACGGCTTAAAATAGGTAAAGTAAACTAAGTTTATTTTCACTGGTACATCACACAGATTATTTCTATGATTGCCGGAAATCGCTGATAAAAGATCATGAGAAATTTGTTGGCGCTTCATTATGACTATAATGGTGATATGATGATGATGAATTTTTCTATATAAGAGTGTCATTTTCGGCCATCTAGAGGTACATTTTAAATATAAGGGTGATGTTTCTAGAGGTACATTTTAAATATAAGGGTGATGTTTTGATGATGAATTTTAATACATAAGAGTGTAATTTCTAGAGTACTTCTTCCCCAAAGTTTCCGTCTTACAGAAGAGGATTTGAAAATAAATTAGATGGTTACATTGCATACCGGTACTCTTTGTTTAGTTTTATTCAAAATGTTTTGGTTTAGGAAGCTGATTTCGACATTAAAAAACATAGCCTACATAAAGTCATATTATAGTAGCTCGATGCCTATCAAATAAGTAATAAAAATTCGCCATAATTCGTCAAATATCCGTGGCTTCCAGGGGGCTTCGCCCCCCTGAACCCCCACCGGTGGCTCTAGGCGGCTCCCCAGCCCCAGCCAAGCGTGACTCGATTCGCTCCACTAGCCCCCCCCCCTGTCGGGGCCTTTAGCCCCTCCGTCGAGCAGGTCTTGGCGCCATCACTGTATCCTATACAGCAAAGGATGTAGAGTGCAACAGGTCAAACTTTAAATAACTTGTTCATATTATATCAGAAGATGCAATGAGTGATACTGAAGTAAAATACCTGATAGCGCAAGCAAACAATAAAAACAGAAACATTAATATGGCTAACAACGACTCATAAGAACACCTATGTATGGTCAATTCTATTGTATGCCTGTAAAAGCTGGACAATAAACAATGATATAGCAAGAAGGATTGAGGCATGTGAAACATGGTTTTTAAGGAGAATGTTAAAGGTACGGTAACAGAGGGACAGGAAGTCGAATGTGGAGATTTTCAACAAATGTAAATATCAATGGAGTCTAAAGAGACTACAAATAAAATATCTAGGTCACACAATAAGGAAGGGGAAATAAAACGGTTGACACTATGTGGAAAAATAGAAGGAAGACGAAGTCGTGGTCGTCAACACTTGACATACCGTACCTCTCTGCTATCAATAACACAGAGCTCACCAACAACGATTTCATTCAAACAGCATATAACAGGGAACTCTGGAGGACAATGGTCATCAAACGTCTGCAAACAGACATACAGAAGAAGAACCTTCAGGGTTTTTGTTTTTTGGTTTTTTTGGGGGTTTTTTTTTCGTAGGCTATATGGATCGTACATGTCCTTTTTGATACAATGTTTTACCACTCCGCTGTTATGTTTTTATAACATTTGGCCTCAGTGAATTAAATGTATTCTCGCCTCATCTAAAAAAAAAACCCACACGACAATTTTTTAACAACACAGCACAGCGATTTGACCTAAATTTGTTAGTTGGAGCGAAAATAGGAAAATGGCTAAAACGTTCCATACAATAAATGAAGCAACTCATGTGCAAACCTTTTGAAGGTTTGTTAATTCCTGCCAATTGCTATCATACATTGAAGTTGAAGCCCCAGCCAACACCTTAATTTCCAAACACCAACAGGATTCATTCAGTTTAAGTCTTGATGATACATGCACCCAACCAATTATCAAATTCAAAGGTAAGAATTTGTGGCTTATCTGTATGCCGATATCCTAGGAATATTTCCCAGACTAGTTACTGCATTATATCCGATATAATATACTAGAAGATATACAAAAGTTAGACCTAAAGATTGAAAACTATGTAATGAAATAAGTCCACCTCATACACCCCCATTTTTGGAAGAAGACACATGCAGATAGGAAGTTAGAAACGGACTTTGTATCAATTCTATTATAAATATCATACACAGGAACATAGACAACATATAAGTAAAAAACAAACTTTCATACATCAATCAAAAAGTGAGGTGGTGCTATTTCAATTGCTTTAGGTATAAATTTATAAAAAGTGTTGTTGTATTGTGATTGCACGAAGTATCACGCTTGCGTAAATACTTAAATTGAAGGATCAAAAATCATTAAATCAATTAAATCTTTCATCCTGACATCTAACAGACTCCCGAACTTAACTAGCTGGAGGTTAAGTGATCGATTAACTCCGTCCTGTGCCTGGATACCGAATACGCAGGCCGTGTAGGACGATATTATTATTTTCTTTATGATCGAAGGTAAGTTAAATGAAACAGAACAATCATCTCTTTTTTAGATTATTATATACCAGGGCCACTAAATTTTACAAAGATTAATTTCTTAGTTTTCTAATAATCAACAGACAGACAGAGGTGAATATAAAACCTCCTTGGCGGAGGTAATGTAATGAGCCTATGTCTATAGCTGATTACTAAATAGCTTCCGAATGAATGTGAATTAAAATGGCATAGAAGATTTTAAATACTTTAAGATTATGCAAGGGTTACCTGCAGTATAATCTGGATTATACTAGTCCTCTGGAGGTGAGAATCACTAGGCGTTTCCCAGCCGCTTGGCGGTATAACCAGTCTTCAAAGCGTAAATCCATAACCTTCCCATCCTGCAACTTCCCAGCCGGTTGAGTATAGGCCCATTCAGAGATTCTTCACCTTTACTACTATTAATATTTGCTACCTTTGTTTCTCAATGGATTTGACATCCGGAAACATCTTTGAAGCAAATTAGGCACTACGTTTTGAGTTTTCCCGCATCCTACTAAACACATTATCATGTGCTAATAGGTGCTTTCAATAATGTAATTTGTTTGTAGAACATACTCTTATACTATTAGTCCGGCCTATTTGGTCTCTTCAACCACGAAAACATTCGTTTTTCTTTTCAGAAGCCGTTTAATTGGTGATTATGAATGTAAGTAAACAAACGGAAATACTATTCAGCCTACATATTTTCATCACCACCATCTTTAGCAGAATATCGTACAATTTAATATTAGCAACACTATGTGTTTATAATGATGTTTCGCTATTTGACGGAAGTGTTGAATTTCGTGCGGTTTTTGGAAAGCGATTTCGCGCAGCTTCCTGACCCTGGTTATTTAACTTTTTTGGTCAGAGAGGCTATGAAGTGGTCCACGCTGTTTCAGTCTATAATTAATATATTAAAAAGTAGCCCCTTACATATAAATGACTTATTGGGCCTTTTTTTGGGGTGAATTGAGTAGATTAAACGCCTCAGCCGAATGACGGTGCAAAATTGAAACTTAGGCTATATTTCAGTTAAAGGGAGCACCGATAGGAATTGAACTGGGAACAAAGTTTCATGGAAAGTTTCCACAGTTCAGCACATACACTGGCTAACTAACATTAGTATGACTGAGCTACTGTAAAGTTGCTGTTAACACAGGATCAGTTACGCGCTTATAAAATACTGGTAGGAATTTGTTTAGAGCATTGTGTGGCCTAATATAGGGCCTAAAGGATACTTTCTCTCCCAAACTATGTTTTTTTTTTTATTTACGCAAGTGAATGAAATTCAGGTTGCTCGAGGTTGTATCTCCGATCGAGAAAACACTAACCTAGGGGGTCCGGGGCATGCCCCCGCGAAATTGTTGTGTTCTAGACGCCCGAAAATAACATTTCAGGCGTTCTGGGCTATCATTTTTTTCTTTTCCTTTCTTTTTTTCCTTTTTTCCCTTTTTTAACCTCCAAAAAAGGTGGGGAGGGGCGGGCCGGGCCGTCCCCCAAAAATCCGCCCCTGTGTCTAATGAATCCTTATTTATATTTTAGAATCGACGCAATTTCTTTACTGTGAACCTGTGTGAACTCGTTTGGATTTTACTAATTTCTGCTACTTTTTGCATAAGATGTCTTAGACCAGACTCATCCACGATAAATGATGTAGAAACAACTAGAAAACATCACGGAGTATACAAAGGTAAATCGAATCGTACAAGAAATTACAGTCCGAAAAAAATATTAATATTCGGTGAGTTTAACAAATTAAAAGGGTGGGTTTTATTAAACCCAATGACTAACTGCTTCAAAGGACAGCATACAAAATCTCTTCGAGCTTGTTCAGTGTTTTGCACTCAGTATAAAGAGTCAATATTGTTAACTTTAGGAGGAGCAGAAAAGTATGCTGGAAAAGATGCCATAGTCTTTGGAGTTACACCTAAAACACTTCATAATAACCACGATGAAGCTGCTATGAAACAATTCCCATCAAGTGTTTTGACTGTCTTTTATAGTATGGAATCGCCATACATGGCAAGTAAATGGATCTGGAAACTTCACACTGGAAGATACCACATTACTATGACGTACCACACTGGTTCCAACATAACAATTCCGTATTCGTACTATAAACCATTCACCGAAAAAAAGTTGTCAGAGAAGCAAAACTTTGCCATGGGTAAAACAAGATTGATTGCCTGGATGGGTAGCAATTGTGTAAATCAGACTTTTTGGCCTAGGATGGAGTACATCAAACAGTTGCAAACACATATATCGATTGATATGTATGGAAAATGTGGAAATCTCACATGTCTACCACGACTTTCTGTGAAATGTGTTCATATGATGAAAAAATATAAATTCTATCTATCATTTGAAAATTCTGAGTGCCACGAATACCTGACGGAAAAGTTTTGGACCAACGCCCTAAGGAACAATGTTGTTCCGATAGTATATGGACCTAACAGATCAGATTACCACAAATTTGCGCCACCAAATTCGTATATCCATGTCAGTGATTTCAAAAATGTACAGGAACTAGCTGACTATATTAAACTACTTGATAAGAACGATGACTTGTACAATAAGTATTTTGATTGGATTAAAATGGGGATGACTGTAAATGTATTTCCCCAATTGAAACCTTCATACTTTTGTGAGCTTCTGCCGTTTTTAGGCAAGAACCAATCGCAAGAGCGTAAACCCCTTTCTCAATCCGCATGGTTTAATTCATGTCGGAATCCAATAAAAAACCGATATAAATCCAGCAAATGGATACATTTAAAAAACTGGTCTCCTTGGAGATAAAATATTTTTTCTGTACTAGAAAAGTATACCTATCTGACAATGAGAAATATTAGAGAAAGCAAATCCTTCTCTGATGAAAACATTAAACGTCTCTTAAAACAATCCTTAAAAAGATAGCTCTGCTCAAACTTTAAATCATAATGATAAAATTGTTATACCAGAGAAGAACACACATGGATCAGCCCACATCAATTCACAACTTATAATAATAACTTGTCATAATTTGCTTGCCTATTAAATTTTGATCAGGGATTTGCCCAAAGTGGGGGGGGGGGGGGGGGGGGTGGGGGGGGGGGGGGGGGGGGGGGGGGGTGACGCCATATCTTCGTATCTTCAGATATTCCTATTTTTGTAGACAATAAATATGTTTTTTTGAAAAGCTGTTTCTAAACAATTGAAATAGTAGCACGCACGTTTTTGAAAACTATTTGTTCTTCTCAGCCCTGGCGACAACCTCTGCCTCTGCGCTCGCAATTACTCGTTACTCGTTCAGCTCGGTTATAAGAACTTGTATAAAATCGTTTTCCTCTAGTAGTAGGACTAACAGTCTAAAACCACTCATCCTCAAACGTCCGTCCCATGATAGACAGCATTGTGCGATAGTCGCGTGAGCTCTGGAACAGCGCCTTCAAAGGGGAATTTTTTCTTTTAGACCAATTATTATTAACTGCAATCATAATAACTTTGGTTGAATCGGTAATTATTCCCCCAAATGGCGTCCGACAAAAGCGGCAAAGAGAATACGATGGAGTAAAGTAAATAAAGTTATTATAATGCCCATAGAAACTGCATTCAGGTCTCCGAACGTTCAGGTACAATTTTCGTTTAATCATAGAGAGTAAGAAATGTAAAAATGACATCTGGGTCACTTATTCTTTGCAGAGAGTCAAGTTATTTATGATAAAAGTGAAATACTAATGTGTTATATTATTCCTACACTATTTGAATGCTTTAGTACAGCACACATTTCCTAATAAACAAATCCCCATATGGAACTTTATTAGTAAACGTAATACACGCTCCCGCTGGGAGCCTATATTATGTTGCGGTTTGTCTTCTTGCGAACCACACTTGATCGATGTCGCGCGTGACACAAGCGTGGGTGTCTTATGATTTACCGACAGTGGTTTGCAAATGTTTCTGCCTGTCATTTTCCTTGTATCACGTTTTTTTTGTACGCGAGTGCCCTTTTATGTTTCTAGTGGATTCGTGGGAAAAAGACAACATAAGATAGCTTACAATAATGGTACATTCCATGACCTAGGGTTCCAATTGTATAACAGTACGTTATTAAAACATGTTTTGTTTCTCACTAAAAATATTCTCTGTATTTATTTACACCTACATTGCAGGGGCGGATTTAGAGGGGGGTAAACAGGCTTTAGCCCCCCCCCCCTCTAAAATGTCATAGCAATTTCTTTTTACTGCTTTTTGAAGGTCCAAATTAAAATATTGTTTAAATTTTTCTTCACACACATCACATTTATGGGCTAAACATTTTACAGTAGTTGTTTTTTAGTGATAAAATAAAAATGAAATACGTTTTTTAACCGATCAGCGGACAAAAAACGTAGCTAAGAAAGCTGCTTTTGCCTTGCCTTCATGCTCAAATCTCGAAGCAAAGGTCTCAACGTTTGTATAATACACTCAACTTTTCGTGTCGCGCGAGTCGTTCTTGTCTAGTCTTGCCTTGATTGCTTGCGGTCAGAGGCAGGTATTTAAACGTTTGTATGATACACTAAACATTTCGTGTCGAGAGAGTTGTTCCAGTTTAGTTTTTTCTTGATTGCTTGTCGTCGGATACTACTACTACATTTAAAACATATTTTAAGGGGAATTCTTTTGTCGTCTGAGGTTCTCATTAACATTATCAAATTTTACCTTAGGGACAGTATTTTTTTTTTTTTATTATGGAACTGTTTTCACCCTCTTCATTGTCTTATTCCCCATGGCAACCCTTTCACCAGGATTTTTAAAGAATGGTGAAATTTCCGAAAATGTCCTCAAAATTTTAAGGGTGGTGCACAAAATTCTAAAGGATGGATACAAACAATTGCTATTTTAGTGCATAGCAAGTGACACGCTAAGTCTGTTTATTGACCTTGCATTTGCATTAATATTTTTTTAAAGGCTGGTTCCAATATTTTAAGCATGGCGTATAATTTGCCTTTTTAATGTTTTTATTTAAATTATGTTGTTTCTGTGAATATCCTACGTGAAAAGATATTTTTATCTGCCATTAAAGATCTTAGTTAATCGTTTTCCATATTATTAATTTATTTACATATATTTTTGTCATAATAATGATTTTACTATAAATATTGTTTAACATTTACGGAAATAAACGTTGTTTAATGAATGAATAATTATTCAAATCCACTTACACTTGACAACAACAACTAGGCATCAGTTATTATTTTTAATGGTGTCTACCACATATTTCTTCTTCAATTATATACAGATACTAAATAAAAGCTATTTAAAGTATATTTATTCAGTTTGTTTTCAACGTAGTACTATCAGATTGTTTTGAAA